AAAAAAAAAAAAAAAGTGTATTAGTGTAATACACAAGCAACATGGACATGCTATGTTACATTTTTTTTTTTATATATATATATAATTACATATTTTATAAAAATGCTTCTACTAAGTGATTTTTTTTTTCAAAAAATTGTGCACTGTCTAGGTCCTTAATTAGAAAACACAAAATTCACTATATTTTTAAAACAAATGCTGCTGCTGAGTAGGATACAATACAGTTTGTACAGTAAATACATATATTATATAAACATGCTGAGTAGATTGCAAAACAGACTGATTATATATTGTATTTCTTGAAAAATATATTGTTCACTCTCTAGGTTAATAAGAAAAACACAAAATTCACTATTTTCAGTAGTGAAAATGTCTGTTAAAGTGAAAATAGATATATACACTATACTTAATGTAATGTAATTTTTTCCACAGTGTTCAAGGTTTTGCAAAACCTGTTTTTGCATTTATATATATATATATATATATTTCTACATCCTGTTCGCTTTCCTACTACACAATGCAGAGTCAAGGTATGTATAGAGTGTGTGTGTGTGTGTGTGTGTGTGTGTGTGTGTGTGTCTTATGCTACATTTAAATGAGAGTGTTTTCACTTTCACGAAACTATGTGGTGTTAACATTGTTTCGGAGAAATGCACTTCTACAGAATTCAGCCATGATCATCCCACATACTCGAGTCACAAGTAAAACATCCTGTGTCAATTTATAGGCCTCATTTACATATTAATATCCATCTCGGGTGATGTAATCCCAAATGTGTATTACAGATCTAACACTGATTCAGTCACTCAAGGTAACCATATCGCATTTCTATTACAAACACTGAAGCATCCTGGAAAGAAAGGATTTGGCCAGTTTAGTGAATGTCGGGACGATGATTTACGCTACTGTTCAAATGTTTGAACAGTAAAAATTTTTTTTTTTTGAAAAATATGTTTTTGAACGAGACGACAACAAAAACAGTAAAATTGTTACAATTTAAAATAACTTTTCTATTTTAATATATTTTAAAATGTAATTTATTTCTGATGGCAAAGCTGAATTTTCAGCAGCCATTACTCCAGTGTCACATGATCCTTCAGAAATAATTCTAATATGCTGATTTGGTGCTCAACAAAATGTTTTCCTAAATAAATAAATAAACAATGTGATATATTCTTTTAGGACTGTTTATGTAAAATCAATTTTACTGTCACTTTTGATCAATTTAATGCACCCTTGATGAATAAAAATATAAAAAAAATTTTTAAAGTACCTCAAACTGATTTTTTTTTTGGTGATCCAGAAAAAAAGTTTAAAAAAAATAATAATAATTTGTACACTTTTTGTTTTAAGTACATTTTGTTGCAGCCAGTGAAAGTTGGCAATTGTTATTGTTGTACTCTGGTGTGTAAGTGTGCAACTGTGTGTAACAGCTCGCCCACCATTGTGACGTGAAGTCCACAAACTCGGGTGAGAAGCGGTCTGCAGGCAGCTGGGGCGACGGCTCTTCCACCACCTGCTTGAGCTGCTGAAATGGCGTTCCCCATGAGTCATAGGGAAACCGCAGAATGGCCAGCTCGATCTGACAAGGCAAAAAACAAACACGTCACAACTATCACAAACCATAAAGTGCCATGCAACACAGGAAGCGGCACAGATTTTTTTTTTTATTATTGTAACAATTAGTAAATAACAGAGAAAGACCTTTTTATGGATAATTTACAAATTAAACACTTATTTTTTGCAAAGTCAAATTTAATCATCACTGAAGCTGTACAAGTGAAACGGTTATTCATATAAATGTAAATGCATTTTACATGTTGTTTTATATTACACATAGGCCTTACATTTTTTTATCAAATTTAAACCTTAACATATTAGCTATAACAAAAGTATGTGATTAATTGTGAATAAATATTTTAAATAAACTGACAGCCCTAATATTAATACATCAATTTTGAGTGCAATGTATGAAGTGTTACAATTAATCAACATTGAAGTGTCAAAGATATAAAAGGTCATTCAGACGTACCATTGTGATTCCTAAACTCCAGATATCAGACTTGACATTGTAGCCTTTCTGATTGGTCTCTGGGTTGATTCTCTCAGGCTGTTAATGAGAAAGAATTATGACTGATTAATATGATTGTGGGCAAAATGATAAGTAGACTAGAGAGATAAGCAAGCCTGAGAAAGTGCCATAAAAAATATGTCACTTTTGCTCTTACTATATTCTACTCTTTATTACATGAAGTCTCTCATTTAGATGTATAACATTCACAGCTATATAGAGTGCTACATGAACACAGGCTGTGAAGTGTGTGGAGAATTCTCTGGAGCATGCACACTTTATCGATATATGTGTTTTTGAACAGCCCACATCTAATTCATTACCGAGTACAGTAGACAGTTTCATTATTTGTGTTTTAAGGTAAATAGTCATAATGCTTGAAATACCAAAATAAATTAATTAAATAATTCTGCAGTTTCACTGACCCTAAATGTTTATAATATTAAAAAGATAACAAAAGCCGACAATTTAATTATCTTAAAATTATTCAACAAATACTTAAATATATAATAAATAATTAAAAAATACACTTCTTTTTTTTATTGAATTAACCTGTATTACATATGTGACCCTGGACCACAAAACCAGTCACAAGGGTCAATTTTTTGAAATTGAGATTTATACAAAACTTTCCATTGACGTATGGTTTGTTAGGATAGGACAATATTTGGCCGAGATACAACTATTTGAAAATCTGGAATCTGAGGGTACAAAAAAATAAAAATTTTCAATAGAAAATCGCCTTTAAAGTTGTCCAAATTAAGTCCTTAGTAATGAATATTACTAATCAAAAAATAAGCTTGGATATATTTACTGTAGGAAATTTACAAAATATCTTCATGGAACGCGATCTTTACTTAATAGACTAATGATTTTCTGCCTAAAAGAAAACTCGATAATTTTGACCCATACCATCAATTGTTGGCTATTGCTACAAATATACTCGTGCTACTTATGACTGGTTTTGTGCTCCAGGGTCACATATACACACACAGACAACATATGCAAAATAAGAAAAATGCATATTCCAACTCTGAATATTTAGATTAATTTAGAAATATATTGCATTAAATGTGAAAAGCTCATGTCTAATTCATTACGGAGTACAGTAGACAGTTTCATTATTTGCGTTTTAAGGCAAATAGTCAAAAAGCTTAAAAAAAAAATTCTGCAGTTTCACTGACCCTAAATGTTCATAATATTTAAAAGACATCAAATAAAAACTGACCATTTAACTTAATCATTATTTAATTATTACTTAACAAATACTTATAAATATACATTTATTTCTTATATATTTTAAATTTTTATTTTATTAACCTATACACTCAAACAAACAAGTAAAAAAAAAAAGAATAAATAAATATTCTAAAAAAATATTCTAACCCTAAATATTCAGATTAGAAATATATTGCAATAAATGTGCTTGTGTATATTGTTGTTAAACGACTATGAAGATCTATATGGAAAAAATAGAAATTCCAGCATAAGAAAATTAAACACACAACTCTTCTTTCTTCTTGCTTACCGCCATGTATGGCTTGCAGCCGGCGTCCATTGTCTTCGCCACTGAATCCACGAGGTACCCGCTGATGCCAAAATCACACATTTTCACCTGACCCTGCATGTTTATCAGGACGTTAGAGGGTTTCACATCTGAAGAAAGACAGAAAATGTGAAAATCAGTTGCTGGCATCATTAAAAAGCAAATATAAGACACTGTATTTGAGCCGCAGCTCACCTCTGTGTATCACTGACAGGTTGCTGTGGAGATGCTCCAATGCTTTCACGATCTGCAACGGGAATATAAAACATCAGGCTCATTACAGATCTGCAGGAGCTCAGAGTTACACAGCGTTAAAATGATCGTAAATGCTCTGGAAGTGGGCCTGCAATTAAAAATAAGCATATGAAGCATTAATTCTGTATGAAAGACAGAAAATCAGGTGGTACTTACAGAAACGGTGATCTTTCCCAGGATGTCCTCTGGGATGGTCATACCCTTCTCATGCACCTGTTTATAGAACTTATCTAGAGAGGTGTCCATCAGCTCCATGCAGATCCACACGTCACCCTGACAACACAATGGGCCAATCAGGTTAGAGCTAGGATTTCAGACATAACAACAACCTGACATAAAAATGAGACAGCAGGAAATGACTAAACACATTCCCATTGTAGGACTTCCTGTGGAACTTTTCTTTCAGATCAAAGTACAATAGTGGAGTTGAGACATTGTAAGGACACGGATTCAGATAACTGGGCTTGCTCAGCCTTTAGTCTGTACAATTACCACTCTGTACTCTGGTATTAAAATAGCGACAAATGCTATCAGGTAAATGAGATGACTGCTCAGTGCATTTACTGTAGGTGTTCTTGTACCTCTCTGAACAGGGCTCCATAGAAGGTAACAGTATAAAAGCAGTCGACTGTTCTCATGGAGATGTCCAGATCCATTAGCAGCCGTTTCTGCTCCTGTGTGTTTACTGTGGCCCGGATTCGCTGTAGAATAAAATGGGTCAGGGAAACAAGCAATAATATTGTCAATTATAATAGTTTCAGTGCTGGATGCTGATAAACACAGTGTTCAAAAAGTGTTGAATACATACTATAGATACAGTTTTGTCTATTAATGTAATGTCACAGAATAAATTTTCCATGGGAAGGACACTTCAACTTTAACTTGAGATGAATAATAAAAAGAAAAATATTAAGGACACAAATAACCACAAAAGGTTAACTTAAAGCGTTTCACTTTTGGGGGTCAGGGCAGCCTGATTTTTATAGATAAAAATTAACACTTATTTAGCAAGGACGCATTTATTTGATCAAAACATTTAATGTTACAAAAGATTTCCACTTCAAATGAATGCTGTTTGTTAACTATTTATCGAAGAAGCCTGAAAAAACAAATTCTATGAAACATTTTATGCTGCTTGAGCAAAATATGATTAAAAAAAAACTGATGGTTATGATGAAATGGATAAGCCATTCAATAAGCCGGTTCCAAGGTAGTTGAAAGATGCTAATAAACACACTAGCACACCTCTAAATATCACAATTTACAAGGTTGCTTAGTACAGCACTAGAACCATATATATAGACATAACAACAACCTGACATAAAAATGAGACAGCAGGAAATGACTAAACACATTCCCATTGTAGGACTTCCTGTGGAACTTTTCTTTCAGATCAAAGTACAATAGTGGAGTTGAGACATTGTAAGGACACGGATTCAGATAACTGGGCTTGCTCAGCCTTTAGTCTGTACAATTACCACTCTGTACTCTGGTATTAAAATAGCGACAAATGCTATCAGGTAAATGAGATGACTGCTCAGTGCATTTACTGTAGGTGTTCTTGTACCTCTCTGAACAGGGCTCCATAGAAGGTAACAGTATAAAAGCAGTCGACTGTTCTCATGGAGATGTCCAGATCCATTAGCAGCCGTTTCTGCTCCTGTGTGTTTACTGTGGCCCGGATTCGCTGTAGAATAAAATGGGTCAGGGAAACAAGCAATAATATTGTCAATTATAATAGTTTCAGTGCTGGATGCTGATAAACACAGTGTTCAAAAAGTGTTGAATACATACTATAGATACAGTTTTGTCTATTAATGTAATGTCACAGAATAAATTTTCCATGGGAAGGACACTTCAACTTTAACTTGAGATGAATAATAAAAAGAAAAATATTAAGGACACAAATAACCACAAAAGGTTAACTTAAAGCGTTTCACTTTTGGGGGTCAGGGCAGCCTGATTTTTATAGATAAAAATTAACACTTATTTAGCAAGGACGCATTTATTTGATCAAAACATTTAATGTTACAAAAGATTTCCACTTCAAATGAATGCTGTTTGTTAACTATTTATTGAAGAAGCCTGAAAAAAATAATTCTATGAAACATTTTATGCTGCTTGAGCAAAATATGATTAAAAAAAAACTGATGGTTATGATGAAATGGATAAGCCATTCAATAAGCCGGTTCCAAGGTAGTTGAAAGATGCTAATAAACACACTAGCACACCTCTAAATATCACAATTTACAAGGTTGCTTAGTACAGCACTAGAACCATATTACTTGGCAGAAAATTACTTTATTTCAGCAAATAATGCTACCAAATTTAATTTACTGACCTTGTTACTACAGTTTTATAAAAGTCGTAAGTCACTTTAGGCTCACTGGTCCTATCGATGATCGAAATGAGAAATTTCCCAAAATGCCCATCCCTAGCAAATATAATTTTAAAGAAATACTAGGAAAATGCTACAAGTAGGACAACTAAATCTTGCCCATTTCTGTTGAATTGAGACATTTAATTAGAGCAATATTCCCCACATGAGTCTGGCTAGCATAGGCCTGCATGAACTCACCTTTACTGCCATTATTACGCCACTTGGGACGTGTCTCATCTTGTCCACCACTCCATACGCCCCTCGCCCCAACTCTCCAATCTGCTCCAAATCATCGGCCTTCACCACAAAGTTCTGTTCACAACAAAAACACATGTTAAAGGTATCATATAAAGTTTATGAATGATGAAATTGATGCGCACACACACAATGGCAGATAAAAGGAAACCAAGGGGAAAAAAAAGGATGGACAAACAGGGGGAAAAAATGAAGCCTGCATTCCAAACACAGTCTGAAAGACATCTAAAAAAGAGAAAAATAAATGGCACAAATGAGCATAAGCTGATTGTTTCCTATGAAGAATGGAAGCACGCTATCCCATTATATATGATAACCTTTTTCAATCCCTGTTTCAGCTCGCTATCACTAGCAATCACAACAAACGCCTTAAACCTGGAGGCAACAACAATCCGGCTCCTCAGAAATCCTTCACAAAAGCTTGTACGTTCCTATCTGACTTAAGTTACTTACTCTTCGTGTTTGGTTGTAAGACAAAAAGCCTTAATCTTTGCCAATGGAAAATTCCACTTATCTGATGAGTTTAAAATAAATATTTTTACAGCCTGAGAGGCAGTAAAGTACATTCCAGGCTGCCTACAATCAGACGTATTCAAAAGGGCTGTAATGTGCACTGGGCCATTCTTTACAACCCGCCGGTCTTTCACCGAGCCAAGCTTTCGTATCAAGCCCGGCACAGGAGTTACATCACCATGCAATGTAAAATATGACGTTTTATATGACATGTCTATCACCTTAGCACGGGAATGCAAATTACAACGACGCTTTGCATACAGGTGACCCAAGGACAGTTCCTCTCATATTGCTTTTTAATACAGATGAGGAAGAGAGGCAGGTGAAGTGAAACCCCGCAGCATGAAATATTTCCCATAGAGGCTAGATTTTTTATTGCCATGCACCGATTGATGCAGATTTATTTGTAATAATAAAAAAAAAAGAGCATAACTGAAAAGTGAAAAACGACATGATAGAAGACAGGAGACAAACGGAGTGAAAAAGTATAAGATGAAAATACACAAGATTCTCCTTAATTAAAGAAAGGATGATGAAACGCACCTTATCTCCAATAGTAACACAGGCTTTGGAGTCCAGGTCTCTCGGGGGTCTGCGCAACAAAGAAATCCCATTGAGTGTCCTTGCCTGACACTGTAAATGACTTACTAACTAAAGCCAGCCTTACTTATAAAATCTATTCTACTTACACACTCAGACAGAAACACTTCGTTTTAGCACCATATATGAATATCAAGAAAAGCATAATTATCTAACAACTTAATCAGTGCACTAAAATCTGCATAAAATCTTACGTAGGAGCAGGTTGGGGTTTCTCAAACACCTCCTTCGGAAGCTTGAGTGGTGGCTTCTTTTTACCTGCAGAGGAAAGAAGAAAAAAAGAAAAAAAAATCATCATTATTATGCCCAAGTCCTTTTAAAAGATCCTTTTAAGAGAGAGAAAAAAATGTCTTGCAACAAAAGCTTTATACAAGATAAACTCAAAAGGCCTGTCTAAACAAAAGAGGCATTCTGAAACCGTCCCGAGTGATATAGAGCCCTTTCCTTTATTTCTGCTCCCCATGGAATTGCGAGATTCCCTATCAGATGAGCACTTACGGTCAGACAGCGCAAGCGGCTCCAGATCCTGGCTGAGTAAATGCGAAAGAGCGAGAGAGTGCGAGGAGAGAGAGTGCAAGTGTGAAAGTGGGAGGTGAGACGGCAGGGCCAGGTACGTTCTTCTCCATCTGGAGCCACAGGCGTGACCCATCATCGTGAGTGACACCAGAGTGGGGCAATCCACATACCTGATGGCACATGAGCAGCCCACACCCTCCTGACTGACTCATTCCAGTCTGCTAAAGGCAAACAGTAGGTATAATGTGCTCTGTATGAGATATTTCAATACATATCAACAATTGTGCCTGGATAAGAATGTCAGATGCTGTACTTCTGTAACAGTAAATGCTAAAAAAGAAGATCAAAGAATAGCAGTCTCTGTGTAGCATCAGCAGCTCTCAATCTGGTACCTAAATGCTGTCTGACTCGTAGGCAACTGCGATTAAATGCTCATGCATGTGTCTGAGCATAATCTGAAAAGGTTCAAACTTCATAAATCATTCAAAAATATTTCTAATTAGCTACCTGAAATCTTAAAACAATGTTTAATTAAATTAAATTCCTTTTAATTTAAAATGAATCAATAAATAAAGACTGTAATTTTATATATGCTATTGTTTTAATTTTTGGAATATTTAGATTAGCTTTTAGATTTTAGATTTAGCTTTTCAAATAAAGTTGAATTGCATATTAGTTTTTGCTGTTGTTTTCTTTTCTTTTTTTACATTTACTGAAATGGTGATGTGACAACCTTGAAGAATGTGCAATTTCTGTGCTACTACCACCAAAAAAGAATTGATCAAATAATAAAATAAATAAAATGACCAAATAATATTTCAATTGAATCAAATTGAATAAAAAATAAAATAAAATAAAATAAAATGAAATAAGGATGAGGCAAACTTTCTGTTTCTGGCTGCTCAAGAAAACAGAATAATATTTTGATAGAAAGATAAAGCCACAGTAGAAGGTTTAAAGCAATTTCTGAGCCACTACCACCAAAACAAATAGCTAAAATAATAGAAATAAATAATTTTAAAAATAAATGGAAATAAAAACCTTACAACAAGAAATTAATTCAATTTGAATGAATTTAAAATAAAATTATTTTAAAATAAGTAAATTATATTCCTTAAGCACAATGGCCAAACTACCCCTTTTGCTAAAAAAAATATTACACACACACAGACACTCTTGATAATACAAATACATTTAAAATACAAAAAAAGTGAAAAATAATAGGAGGCAAGCAAATTAATAGGCAGTGAAGGTTAGTGAAAAAAAACTCTTCAGCCTAGATTTAAAACCAGAAATGGAAAGAGCATTTCTAATCTCATATTGCAACTTAATAAAATGAAATGAAATGAACAAATGAAAATTTGAATAAATGAATGAATAATTAAATGGAACATGGAAAATGGAAAAAAAAAAAAAGTTTCCAGAACACTTCCCCATCTGCCATTGGTCAGCCAAACAGATAGTCCCGCCCCAAACTCGTGTAGGGCTGCTCAAACAAACAGAGCAAAGCTGACGGCACAACAGAGCCACAGTGTTTAAAGTTTTCAGGATAATCAACACACAAATGGTCTAATTATAGCTGGTCTCATTAATCTGAAATAAGAGAAAGTATATTAGCAGCACACACAAAATAAATAAATAAATCCACATTTTTTAACAAATATTCAACAGCTGCACAGATCACTACCAGAGAAAGAAACCCTGCAAAAGGTGTGGCTTCAAAAAAAGTCCTGACCACACCATGAGCCCACAGACAGGAAACAAATGCAGAGACACTTCCCATATTATCACAATTCTACACAAAATACGAGCAGCTATTTGCCAGTGCAGCATGATAAGGGGGTTGTGCATTGTCAACCTTCACCCATAGTCCTGTTGTATGTCAGTTACACTATTGTTACCGGCAAAAAAGTAGTTCTGAACCTCTCCCACCTGCCTTTGCATGCACAACAATAGCAACAGAAAGCTGACACTCAAAAAAAAAACAAAAAAAACTCACCATCACCAAGGACTCCAATCCCTTTTAAAGTGAGGGTACAAAACCACAAAATGGTCGCACGCCTCCTGCAGAAATACATCACCGATCACGACTGCCAAAATAACTATGTCCCAACTGGAAATCACTCCCTAGCAACCGACTCAAGCAATGTTCCGTGTTGAAAGCCCTAATCCTTAAAATCACACATGCTGACACATTACAGGCCGAAACCCGATAGCTTTCTTCAGGCTGATCACATCAGTGATGTAGGGAAAAGGCTGATCTCAGTTACTGGACCTCCGTGTGACTTTGCTAACTTTGTGAAAACTGTTGCATAAGCATTAAAAACAGCCACTTCAGGCACTCCAAATATAACAAGTGCCCTTCCATGTCACAATGCTGCCTGTGAAAAGTTCCCGGTGTTGGTATCGACTACTGCAATAAGTGCAATTATAGCCATAAAGCGACCGGAAGTCGTTCGTTTTTATCAAGAGTTGGCAATTAATGAGGCAGCATGAGCAAACGTTGGCCATGTGACAAAGTTGAGCAGACTAAAATGGTAAACAGTCCAGAACTATAGCGAATCCACAGCCTTTCAGCAATTTAAATGTGTCAATGTACAGACAAAATGTAAAGGGAGATGCAGAGGCGGCTCTGTCTGCTGGAACATGTTCCGGCGTGTTCTACAGACTGGAAAAGCTCTTTCATCCATGAGAATTACCAGCCGCATCTAGAAGAACTAAACACATGCATGCAGATAAACACATATTGCATTTATTTTGGTCACATAAACGAACTCTGTTTGTAAATAAATTCTGCTCTTGAAGTGGTTGGCAATTGTTGCTTGCATAACCGAGATAAATAACTTTATTTCTTTATTCAACAGAACCACTGTACAACGTGCACAACTAAAAGACCATGTGAAGTTCAAACTAGGGCTGGGCAACACATTGACTAGTCACAATATATTTGATTTTTATGGCATTATTAAATTGAGCACGCAAATTGCAACAATGTTATTGTGCATTCATTTAATTAATTGCTTATTGTGCAGTAAAAATAAAAAAAATTTAAAAAAGTGGATTCATTGAGCTGATTCAAAAATATGACAAATTTTACATTACTCAATTTTTTTTTTCCAAAAATATTAAAAGGTCAAAAATAATCAAGTCAAGTTTATGCCTATATTCCTATGCATTTGTTTTAAAACCGTATGGACAAGTCTAGATTATTTATAAAACTTATTTTACCTGCAATAAATGTTTTGAATGCAACAATGATTGCAAATTACTTTGTCCAACAAAAGTCATTGTGCAAAAAATGTTTTGCATTTCCAAGTAAATGCATACATCAAATCCAGTGTTACTGTAGTAGTAATATTATAGTATTAGTAGTAGGCATGGTGCGATTACCAGTTTCAAGGTATACCGCGATTTGAACATTATTCAAACCGCTAATATTTTCCGTTATACCGTTCCTGCGGTATGCGCTGTTTTTCATGTCTCCTCAAAGACTGAAAGTGTAGGAATCTCTCAGGTTGAGTGCAGTGTATTTTCACACACCTAGATTTGCAAGTGATATATTTGTCTATCATTTGAGTAAGTCTAATGTTGACTCAACATTAAGCAAGCACACAGACAGACCCATTCTCTTTTTTGCTGAACTCAGTCTTCTAAAGTAATGAAAAGCACACGGTGTCCAGGTATGTCAGACACGTTCGCAAAACCTTCAAATCATGTTTGAATTAATCAAATGCTTAATTTATTGCTTCATTCTCAACACCGAGGGTTTGGCACAACACAGTCATTGCTAATGTCTGGCAGGTCCTTTAGCGCCTGGCCTCAGGTGACCGTTAGCAATGCCAATCAGTCACAATTGCCGTCGTGTTTTGGGCTATGGAGTAACATGAACTTTACTGACCTCTGAGACCCCCTAGCTGTATCTTGCTTGCTCTGTGGTCGTCTGCCCAAGACCGTATCACAAAACCCAAGTCAGCCAAGTTCTAGTCCTTCACTATCCCACTCACACACAGAATTCCAACAATCCCAAGAGTTTTTCAATGGAATTTCAGGGACCCGGCGGAGGGCCGCTGAATTAGAAAGAGAGAGAGATAAAAAAAAATAACTTCTCTTGGGCTGACGGTTGTTTGGCCCCTCTGCCTGCACTGACTGTTTGTAAGACAATCTATACTTCCAAAGATGGCAGATCCTTTGGGTTACAGCAGCTGGGGACACTGCTTTAGAACGAATGTCGTCACTGCTTCTCACTGTGCATCCTCTACAGCTTTCCACTGACAGAGACAGTCCAGGAATGACAGGTCATCCACAGAGACAGATAAAGGCCAGTGGCTTAAATTTGCTTGCCAAAAAAAACAAAAACAAACATTTTTCTAAAAAATTGACATACACTGCCATCTGTCAATTATAGTTCTTAGAAAGAAAATCGGAATCGACAAAAATCGGTATCGGCAGATCACACTAACAAAAAATCAGAACCAGCCAAGAAAATTGCAATCGGTGCATCTCTAATATATATGTTGTTATAGGGTTTCGCTGACATTTAATGCTATCTTTTAATCAAAACATAAAACATTATTTTTGTATCTGCGAGGTGTCCGTAACACATTTTCTCTGTGCGTTAACGTCAGTAATTATGACTGTCGAATGTCTGACTTGACTCTTGGTAATGTATTTTGCCCCCACCCCCAAACATATGATTCGACTATCGGAAAGATTTGAAAATTCAGATTCGACTATGAAAATCCTTAGTCGGGGACACCCCTAAATTATATATAATATAACATAAGATTTCTTTCATAGAAATGCATTTTTCTTTTTCCTGAAAAAATTTTCATGGTTTCCAAAAATATTTCAACCAGCACAGCTATTTTCAACATTAATAACAAGAAATGTTCCAACACATTTATTATATATTAGAATGATTTCTGAAGGATTATGTTCCACTGAAGACTGGACTAATGGCTGCAGAAAATTCAGATTTGCCATCAAAAGAATTAATTACGTTTTAAAATATAGGCTATTAAAACAGAAAATTTATTTTAAAATGTAATATTCCACAACATTATTGTTTTTAGTAATTCAGCCTTAATGAGCTTAAGAGACCTCTTTAAAAACATCTAATTAGTAGTGTGTATATAAAGATTTTTAGTAAAAAAAATTATAAAACTGAAACAACTAAACTGAAAATAAAAGAAAATTATCAAATAAAAATATCATTGAATTTTTTTGGATGTGTGCTGAAGTACTGAAAACCTCAGAGTTCTTACAAAAATGCGCTTTTATGTAAAATATGCATTTGAATGGCAGGGACCACAGAGGGAGCTGGAGCGGAAAGTGCACAAGCTAAATTGGGATCACTTCATACTAAACGCTTTAAGGGAGATCATACAGCTTTGTGTGGTTTGCCATGTGAGCTCTTACAGACTGCTTGTTGAGAGATGTTTTCCACAGTGTATAACTTCATACTGATATATTACTGTAACTGTAGATGTTATAAATTCAAATTCAAACAGGTAATTCCATTTAAAAAAAAAACAGTTTGTTCTACCAGCAACCATGTCGCCATTACATTTGTACACTACTGCACACTTGTCTGACTGAAAGTGTGCATATGCATCAACCAGATGGATACAGTGTGTGATCGGAGACCAGTCCAAAACAGCAACACTGGCTCAATAAACCAACCTGTTTGAAAACAGTTGTTTCTGCAAGCGCATTTGGTGATATTAGTGGCACATAAATTTACCTTTAAGTGCAATCTAATAATTTGCATGCACATATATTGCATGCCACCATCCAGCTTGGGATAAGAGGCCAACCCAAAAGAGCAATGTTGCCGCCTCGAACCAAGCTGTTTGAAAACAGTTATTTTTGCAAGTACATTTAGTGATTTTAGTGGCACATAAATACCTTTAACTACAATCTTACAATTTTTGCATGCATATATTACATTAGATGGAGTCAGCTTGTGATAGGGGACAGCTACATTTGGTGATGTGAGTGTCACATAAATCTACCTCAAATTGCAATCTAATAATTGTGCATGCATATTCTGACAGTTAAACTCTAGAATGAAATGAGCCATGATGTTTTTTGATGATATTCTCCTCCAAGCATGAGAGGATACCAGGAGGCGTCCCAATTCCTCGATGCATGATCCGGCAGAATTAGAGCAAAGCAAAGTGCTACCAGAGGGTGGAGTCCTCAACCCGTTGACACTCAATCTCTGCCCTGACATCTTCCACGAAACACTGCCGCAGTCACACTACGTGGTTTGTATGTGATGCAAAATCTTTTATTCAGCACTTAGCATAATTGGTTGTGACATACGCCATTTTCAAAACCAAACAGAAGTGTTAACAGTAAATGAGGGCATTGGAAACGAGTGCAACTACTAGGGAAGGTGTTCATCTTACCGTTTTTAAAGACGCCACCATTTTAAATTCAATGCACAAGCTGTAGCCTTCGGCAAATTAGTCTACAGCGTAAGAAAAGCATATTGAATGTTACTAGCTTTATTACGAAATCTGTAAGGCTTTAACAAAACCAGAAATTTCATAAGAGTCAATTTGAACAGAGACCTGCATAATAAGAAGAATGTTGCACCGCAGAATGAATTTGTCTTGTCATTTGTAGAAAGATATTATTTCCTGCCTGTGTGAGGGTTTTATACAACTGTGCATGTGGGGCCAAGTACAGGCTGCTTTAATATCTAACACATTTTGGCTTCATTGGATGACAACAGAAAGCTGTTACTGCCCCCTGCAGAGAAGGGGCCTCCCTTGGGTGCTGTAAATACAAAATCTTTTTTAAAATAAGGACACATGACATACTCACTCTCTACAATAGCATAATCACCTGGAACTTAATTTTGGTGCAGGATTGTGGGTTTCTCACACAATTTAATCATTCATGACGCAGGAAATTTCTGCACACATTCTCTAGAACATATAGATTAGAAATCATAAATTTAATTAAAAACCATCAAGTAACTTATTTTGACTGCACGACTAATTCCACAATTACAAATGACAAAATGTTATGCTTACTAAGGCTGCATTTATTTGATTAAAATTAATGATTTGATCATACAGTAAACATAGCAATATTGTGAAATATTATTACAATTTAAAATAACTGTTTTCTAGTTTAATATACTTTACAAAATATCATTTATTCCTGTGATGGCAAAGCTGAATTTTCAGCAGCCATTATTCCAGTGATCCTTCAGAAATAATTCTGTTTATTAGATGCTCAAGAAACACTGCTTGTTATTATGTTGAAACAGTTGTGCTGCTATATATATAGAAACTGATACCATTTCTGAGGATTCTTTAATGAATAGAAAGTATTTCTTTGAAATCTTTTGTAATATTATAAATGCCTTTTAAGTTTGAACAATTCAAAGCACCCTTGTTAAAAAAAATTTTTTATATACTTCAGATACATTTTTCATCAAGAAATGCACCATTTGGGTAACAATTTTGGATTGATTTTAAAAAACCAACTGCTTTTCACCCCAACATGAGGCATCTAAGGAGGTAACCTCCACCTTTTCTAGACATGTATTTCACACCCTGATTGCAATAAGCTAAAGGCAGTCCATTCTTGGAAAGCAATACTGTTAGTAATGCTATGGTAAGAGACACCCTGGCGGCCTTCAAGAGAAAACCCTAAAAGTGGTCAATTATTCAGAAGTCTGCAATAAGATGGATCAATGTCAGAATGCAGTTCCTGCGGCCCAGCATAGCTCACGGCCCACAGGAGAGAGATAGAGCGAGAGAACGAAAGAGAGAGAAGAAAAAAACAAAACAAAGACAGACAGAAAGGGGCCTCTAGACAGGGCCTCCCAGAGAGCCAATAGAGTCATCATATGGTCACTCCCAAGCGATTCAGCAGGAGGACACTCCCAGGCCTGACATTACCCCATTAAAAACAGCTTAGCTGCTTAAAAAAATGCATGCAATGTATTGCTTTCGATGATATATAGAGACTGGGATGCAAGCTTGCCAACGTGCAGACTAGGCATGGGCCGATTACCGGTTTCAAGGTATACCGCAATTTGCGTTAGGCGTGTTAAATATATTGTTGTTGTTTTTAACCCAGTCATTTAAAAATAACCGTGATATTTTTGCTTAAGGTTATCATACGGTCAAAATCTCATACCGGCCCATGCCTAATGCAGACTGATTTGCATGCAAGTATCTAGTGGAGATTCCATGCCCTGAATTGCAGCATGCATAAATTCATGCAAAAGCATGCTGGAGAGATGGAACGGTATGGGTGTGCTCTCCACGCACACAGATGAAAAGTGAAAGGTCTAGGGGGGATCAGCTGCATAATGCTTAAAACAATCCTCATGCTATTGCATCAAAACAGCACAGCAAGGCTGGACGGTCACCAACAATTGAGCTGTTGCAAATAGGGGATTTAGCATCTCTGTGGTCTATTATCATGACAAACGTAACAATTGTGCATGGCGGCAGCATGCTGCATGGTTGCATGGCGGGGACATCAATTCGCTGTGTGCGCCACTGGGGCCAGTGCAAACTCAATGAACCAGGGGCCAACAAGCACAATATAGACCCCCACTGATGTAAGCAGGGCTCCTCTTCCGAGAAATAGCTTCCAACCAGGAAAACAGTAGCCAAATTTTAAAACGGTCTACGTGCATCCACTTAAAAGTGATTGTTTCCAATCAGTTTTATAATCTGACTTTCAGTTTTCATTCTGAACTATGCAGCTTTAAGGCATTTGACACTTCAGATCACAGTTTTAGTGTGCAATGCATCATAACAAAAAAAACTATAAGCATGCATGTGCATGGAAGAAAACTAAGCATAAATTCTAAAAGGAATAGTTCAAGCAAAAATGAAAGTTTTACTCTCCCTTAGGTCAACCAAGATGTATAAGAGTTTGTTTCATTGGAAGAGATTTGGTGAAAAGTAGCATTGCATCACTTGCTCACAAAATGATCCTCTGCAGTGAATGGGTGCCGTCAGAATGAGAGACCGAATAGCTGATAAAGTATCACAATAATCTATAACACAACTTAAGTCGATCAATTAACATCTTGTAAAGTGAAAAGCTGTGTGTTTGTAATAAACAAATCCATCATTAATAACTTCAAACTGTTGCTTCAGCGAAAACGTGAGTAACTTATCCATAATATTGCTTTCTCCAGTCAGTGAAAAAGTCGTCTCGTCTGGATCAGGAGAGATAAACGCACAGATCAAGCAATGTTTAAAAGCGAAAACAGTTCAAAAGTCCAAAACAGCTTTTCATAATATCTCTTTTTTTTTTTCCACACAAGAAAGAAATGCATACAGGTTTGGAAGTACATAAGTAATTGAACACTGGGTGAACTATCCCTTTAAGGAGTAACCATACAATACATTTATATTTAAGTTTAAACTAGTTGCACTATCAAGCAGCCCTAAAACATTGCCCTTCACAATCCACTACCTGCTCCTCGTGCAAAGGTAAAGCTGTGTTTGTTTGCATGACGGAGGCTTGGTTCATAAGGATTTAGTTCCTCAAATGTTCCTCAGGTGTGTCACTGTTACACAACAACACAATTACTGCACTTTCAACAATGCAAAATCACCTCATTAGGGCGTTAGAATCACACATTCTTCAACCACGCCTACTAATAAATGATCCATGAGTGTTCTGTTCTCAAAATGTAAATACTCCTGCGGTGCAATCTGCCTCTCGATAGGAATGGACCCAGTATAACAGTTGATGCCCATAGTTTTAATTTGGGCTTGTGCATGTATTTCAATTCAGCCCAAGGTGTGAGAAACTATGCAGTACTTCCGTGAAAGAGCAGGGACATTAGATATGTTGCAAAGGCTCCATGGAGTGTAATTAAGGGGTCTAAGCATGCAGTGCTGGGAACCCTGTGTTTTGGTCAGAATTATTATTATTAGACTTCTTTCGGAGCATGCATTCCAAAATTTAAATGGTAAAAAAGTTTGAAACGTGCACCAGTACTAAAGAGCGCTATATACTGCAGGGTTTTGATATACATGCATGAATTCTCAAGGCAAATTAATAATTTTAATACATGCCCCAGTTAACAAAAAACGTCTGTAATTTCGAAATAAGTACTTTAAAATAGCGCTGCAACCTAAAGACACTAAAAGATGGTCAAATCAACTTTTGCATGCCATTTTTTGACCATATGATGACAATTGCAGAACTAAAAATATGTCCATCAGCCAGTAATTTAACTTGTGTCACATCCTCTGTCACATAACTTGGCGGGTCAATTTAGGGGCAGGGTCTGAAGCAGGCAAAGCTTCATGCAGTGAGGCACTGTAAGTGTAAAAGATGAAAATGCCTGCAACAAATTTGCATACGAGTGTAATGATTGTGCATGAACAGGTGAAAAAATGCCAGTAAAAGTCCATTTTAGAATATGCACAATTAATCAAGTAATCTTGGAATAGGAAACAGTATTTTTCTTGTGTCGCACATCTGAAGCCTGTTCCTTAAACTGTTTGCAGCAACAAAACTATATTTAGCCCCTTATTTTTGCAGCCTCTACCTATGCATTACTGCTGGAACAAAGCTTGCATGACAGAGCGTCCGAATTATTTTCCATTACGCGCAACTAATACAAATTGTTGCATGCTCAACATGGCATGCAAGCAGGCTGTCAGGTCCCTGTTTCCCCATTGCACTTGCACACTCACCCGTCGGCCAAAGTTTCATGTTATCTAACGCACCTCGCATGCATCAACGTCAGGAGTTGTACGAACTAATCTAAATGTGCAGAACGAAGCCGAGGCCGTCATGACGTAACAATCGAACATTGTTCGAGAGAAAATCGCCTCGTGCGCGTGAATAAGTCGGGTGCGGACAGCGTTGCCATTGCACAATCACTTTTGCATTGCTGGCTAGGCAGTTCCTTAACGCGGAAAGAAGGCGTTTCTTTTAATAATCGTGGCACAACAAGAATGCAAATAGCGCCTGTGCGAGTGTCTAATGAGAGCATCGCCTTACCAAAAACTCTGCAAAAGGGCAGATCATTAAAACAGGCATTGCAAGCAACTGACCCTCGCGAGCCATCAAACTTTTAATGCACTGGCCACCATGAAGCTGCAGCCGTGCACTTTGCAAGCCATGCAACGCTTGCTGCATTTCCGAGGTTTTGCACGGATCGGTTGAGTAAAAAAAGTACCTACCTCCTTTTGGCACGGACATCTCGTCTTTTGGGTTGGGGGAAGGGGAAGCACAAAAGACTTTGCTTTCCTGGTCGCTCCCTCCTTCCATCTATCCCTCGCAGTGAGGCTTCAAGTGGGCTTGCTTGCAACAAAGGTGCAAAATACAAGCCGCGATCTTCATGCACTCGGAGCCTTTGGGCGTCGGGTAACTTGTTCTCCGTGCAAAGGCTGGCCTTTCAATTGCACGCAACGAAAACGGAGAGATTTCTGCAACCGCTCTGCAAAGAAACCTCGGCAGGCACTTACATGATGGGCCAAGGCCAGCAGCTGAGAGCTCCTAACTTGGATCAGTATGAGCCCCTGCTAACACGTTCTTCCTGCCTGACGACGCCGGGGATCATGGGACTGGTAGTTTGCACGTAATTGCTGTGCGCCGGGGAAAAAGGAGGAGCAGGCCTAATGCTAATATGACTCCTTCAGGCTAACAGACAGATAAGCAGGGCGTGAAGTACTTGAGGAAGTGAACTTCATCATTCAAGTGTCATTTCGTGAATTTGGAGTCATTTTGAAACTGAGTATTTGATGACGGAAATGTTGTCTTTTTGGAAATCGTTCGAAAATTTATCATCAGTTCTTGTTCCTGTTCTGATTCTTCTGAACTATTTCAGTTCCACTAACGATTTATTTACTACTTTTTTTGTAACATGTCAGATATCAACAGAACGATCTTACACATTAGAAATCAATTTACATTAGTAAATTAGTAAATACCGTTCTTTAACAAACGGATGTTCTGTTTACAACGACTTGGCATAAACGCGATAATTTTTTGGTATTATTAATTAATATTTATATAAAATATTACTGATTACAGCAAAACAAAAATTCAGTCACACAAACTATTGGTTCGTTGACGTTCTGAGAGATTAATTTACAAGCGCTCCAACTGATTCGTAAGTGTTTTCGAGTCACTTGAAAGAACCGGCTCATAAGAGTCATTCGATCGGACTCCACTAGCGCTGCATGTTGTTGATTCACTTTAAAGAACCGACTCATTAGAATCATTCTTTCGCGAGTCGGACTACAGTCATCGTTAAAGAACCTGTTTATATGAGTGTTTTGTTCTCTGCACTGGCCGCTGGTGACCACTTAGTAGCTATGTGTTCTAAAGATGATGACCATGTGTCTGAAGTCTTGTCTTCTTTCCTTTACCCACATAATCAATGATAGACTCAGACTTTCTGTAAGCATCATGTATTTTATTGTGTGGTCTGCACAGGGGAGTGAATACTGTACATGATCCCAACATGCAAGGAAACAGATCTAAGAAAATAGTATGAGCACAGACATAAAAATAACTAGGTCTAACTAAGAATTATAACATCACTTAATGGTCTAAATAATTAAATAACCAGCACAACTGTGTGATGTTTCAAGACATTACAGGTTTGAAAGATAAGATATTTCTCATTAAATTTACAAAAGCACCTTGAAACACTTTAAATGTAGTATATTAAAACTTCAAATGTTAAGAAGAATAATAATGTTTTTATTGTGGCAACACGTGTTTCTTTTTTGCAATATACTTTATGCAATAATATGCTAAATTCAACAATTCTGTGCACTTTCTCTTTCTTTGTTCTTTGAGTCCAGTGTGGACAAAGGATGTTGTGGTGATTACACATAAATTAGTAGTTTCCTAAAATGAAAAGGGCTTCTGCCTAATCAAGCTGAAAAAATACCTATGATACGAGTTCTTATATCTGGGACACTAGTGTATGTCACAGGTCTATATTAAAGCAACAATTGCTTGAAAATTAAAATTGTGTCATAATTTACAAGACGTTTATTTCCTTTCTTTCATGGAACACAAAAGGAGATATTCATAGCAGATTTTCAAAGCTGTTCTTCTTCATTTAATGCCAGTTAATGGTGACCACAAGGTACAATTTTCAACTTAAATTTCAGTCTGTTCTTCACACAAGAATATTATTAAGAAAACTTGTCGTGCATGCCTCATGTGGATACTTTTAAGATGTATTAGTAGTGCTTTTGTGCTTTTCAGAACTTGACAGGTCCTGTTCTCCATCCATTTTTGCTATATTAAAGAGAGCAGCGTTAACATTCCTCCAAACATCTCCTTTTGTGTTCCATGGAAAAAAGAAAGTTTGGAATGACACAAGGGTGAGTAAATGATGACAGAATTTTAATTTCTGTGTGAACTATCCCTTAAATTTTGTACACGTGGATTATCGCATTTCATTTTTCGACACTTTTTTTTCCAGAGTAAGGACAGTGGAGATGCACTTTATTAGTGTTAATCACATTAGACCTAAACATTTTCTTCCATGCATCAATAAAACTTTAGACCTTCTAAATCTAAAATGTATTCTACTTCTGTGTACTTGTTACATTATTTCTTGGTTGCTATAAGAGTCTGGTAGATAGGCTTTACAATGATGTGCAAGTACAGCGATCCGTCCACCAGGTACTCAGACGTGCGATATTGCAGATCCTCGCCAAGCAGAAAATCCCCCACCTCTTCTGTGCTTTGGTGGAAACCGAAGATATGCCGCACCACAAGCTTGTTCTTCTGCTTTGTCAAGATGAGCACAGTCTTTTGGAAGCTGACACCTGCAAAATCTGCACTGGAAGTAGCAGGTGTGATGATGACACGAGGCCGGGCAATGCCGCTTCCTCCATCGGGCTGCGGTGGCAGCATGGCACCTTGCTCGGTGTACATGGGCCGCATGCTGAGAGGGAGCCAGCGGGGCGAGAACAGGGTGTTCCATGTCACCCGCTTACTGGAGTCAAAACCGCTCGGACCCAACTGGGTCTGGAAACTAGTGCTGCGGTCGTCCCGTGCCGGGTTGCTTATGACCCACTGAGATCCCCACATGGATGAGAGATAGTTGCGGGGCACGAAGAGGCTGCAGTTCACGTCGAAGAACTTGGCCAGCTGAAGCGGTGAAGCTGAATGGAACTGGTACGACGTGTAGAGAAGATCGCGCACCGACTCGTGGTAGCGCGTCATGATCGCCGACTGTCGCTGCAAGCGAAACAGTTCGCGTGGAGGGATCATGGCGTAGCGCACCAGTCGAAGGGCGTTCTCTGCTGTCAGGGTGTTCGGGTCGTTCCGGGTGAGCCAGATTTCAAGCGCCTCAAACAATTCCAGCTCGTTCTTTAATACTAAATCGGAGCGCTGCAGGAGGGTCGTTAGCAATTCAACACTAACCGACGGCCACTCTACACTCTGCAGCACCGATGACAGATTCCACGCTAAAAACTGAAGGCAGTTGTCTCTCAGCGCCGTATCGCCAACCGAAGTGGCATACTGGTACCAGCCCACCACGTGACCGCCCAGAGAATCGCTGGCCAGGTTCTGACTCATGTACTGGGTTAGTCCTTGCTGGAGGCTGGAGATGCCGTACTTGGTAGCTAGTCTGTGCAGTGGTGTGGCTTGGTCTAACTGCAATGCGAGTTCACCGCAATACAGATATCTGCAAAACACAAGACAACGAGTTCATCAAGCTTCATTCAGTGTATCTTACACAAAATTTCAGTGCTAATTAAAGGTAGCAAACTGTGTCCTAACTGTGATTTTTAATTGCATTTTATTCTATTATTATTATTATTATTATTTAAATGTATATTATTGTGTAATTAATTTAGCAGTATGTATTATATACTACTTTCATATATGTAATACGTTTTTAAACCTTAATTGTATTTCATATTTAATAAATAACTGTTTTTATAAAATTAGCTGACACCATTGTGGAGAACATTTTGACTGTAGTTTTAAGAAATTTGTCATTATTTACAAAACTTTTATTTCCTTTCCTTCATGGAACACAAAAGGAGATATTCATTGCAGAATATTCAAGAAATTAATAATTAATAAATTAATTATATTAATTCATTAATTAATTAACTTTATAATTTTTTCATTATTTTTTTCTTTTATGAAGTTAGATAAAAACATGGTGAACATTTTGATTGTATTATTTGTTTTTGGCTGTAATTTTAAGAATTATTTGTCATCTAAAAAACTTTCATTTCCATTCCTTCATGGATCACCAAATAACATATTCATAGAAGAATATCAATTTAATATTAAATTAACTTTATTTTTATGAGGTTAGCTGACAAAATTGTGGTGAACATTTGGCTGTATTGATTTGGCTGGATTTTTTAAGTTTCCTTTTCTTCATGGAAAACAAAATGTGATATTCACAACCAAATATTTAATACATTTATTAAATTAACTTTCTAAAGTTAGCTGACAACATTGTGGTGAGCGTTTTGGCTGTATTTTGAAAGTAGTTTTAAGAAATATTCCTAACTGAGAAAAAAAACTAGTTTTGTAAAAATATGGCATGTTCTACATACCAGGAAAAAAATATGCATGATTATTCAAAAATAATAATGTAATTACTTACGCTTATCTCTATATACACTTGTGTTGGATGAGTTGCAGTCTGTCTTCCTGTCAGTCCGATTTGAATTCAGCTTCCTGTTGGGTGTGTCTAATTCAATTCATATTTCAGCAGCTCATGAACTGAATGATTGCCAAAATGTCCTGCTACCCTGGATATCTAGGCCAGTGTTGCCAAGTCCACGGTTTTTCCGCGGAATGGGTCTACTTTAACATTGTTGCAGCGGGTTGTTTTTCATGTCCGCGGGTTTAAGCGACTCCAATAACATGATGTTTAACCCCTGGAATGCGAATTTTAACGGGGGAACTCCGCCAAATGGGGACCCCCTCGAAACGTGATTGGGCTAGTTTTGAGTAGCGATTGGGCGGGTCTTCTTGTGAAAACCTGGCAACCCTGATCTAGGCCTATTTATCAGGTTGTCTCAGATATGGCATCCAATGTCTCTGTGAGCCAAATTGGATTATTACCTGATAAAATAATATGCAAATATAAATCTCTTTTTATAATAAGGCATCTTCTTGTGTTGTTTACCGTTGTAGTTTAATGCTGTCACTGCCTTGTTTGCCTTGTTTGCCTTTTTTAAAAATTCTGATTGTAGCTTTGTCGTCTTATCCTTAGGATCGCTATAAAGGAAATAAAACCCCAAACAAAAAAACTTCAGTTCATTCAAAATAAATGAGTAGGCGGCGTGTGCTCTTGTAACAAAACATCTTCTCACGCTAGCGACACATCACTATTGTAATGTCACCCTATTATGCCCCTTCTCATTATAAAGCTGCCTTAGATTAGAGCAGAGAGTTCATTTTTAAATATCGCTGTTTTGTTTCATAGATGTTATCTCCTTTTGGATCTGAGCTGCTGAGAGCAGGAACGTTGCAGTTCCAGCATTGGCCATTAGAGAGAGTCTGGCCATGTGTGGGATGGGAATGTTCTCAAAATTGGTCATGTCCCAACGTGTTTTAAGCTTGTTGGGATGATACAGCGCTGCAGGGTTTTTTTTCCCTCAAAAAAAAAAGTTTTGTGGTGCTGTGGTAAATGTTTATGATGGTTTGCAA